CGCCGCCCGCCTGCCCGCCCTGCACCTCTTCGGGCGGCAGCCGCTCGACGCCGCCGCCTGCGCCGCCGCCTTCCGCGGGCTCTTCCCCGAGCGGCGGAGCCGCGTCGTGGTGCTCAGCGACCTGCGCTACGCGCACGCCATGGGTGAGTGACGCGCGCCCCGCGCCGGCACCGCCGCGCCGCCTCCCGCCTTCATTCCCGGCCTCTTTCCTCCGCAGGGGAGCTGGAGCGGCTCTTACGGCCCGAGTACCCCAACGTCGTCTTCTCCAGCGTGGAGYGCGGCGAGCCCGGCGCGGCGCGGCCCGGGGAGCAGCGGCACCTGGGGCGCCGCTTCGTGCTGGAGCCGCCGGCCGAGCTGCAGGACTGCGCCATGTTCTACGTGGGCGCCGAGGGCCTGGCCCTCAGCAGCTTCATGCTCACCTGGAACCGCTGCCCCTTCAGCTCCTTCGACCCGGCCACCGGCCGCGGCCGCCGCGAGACCTTCAACGTGAACCGGGCGCTGATGCGGCGCCTCTACCTGGTGGAGCGGGCGCGGGACGCCAGGGTGGTGGGCATCGTGGTGGGCACGCTCAGCGTGGCGGGCTACCTGGACGTGCTGCAGCACCTGCGGGAGCTGCTGCGCCGCGCCGGCAAGCGCAGCTACACGCTGGCCCTGGGCAAGCCCAGCCCCGCCAAGCTGGCCAACTTCCCCGAGGTGGAYGTCTTCGTGCTGGTGGCCTGTGCCCAGAACTCCCTGCTGGACTCCAGCGACTTCTACCGGCCCGTGGTGACCCCCTACGAGCTGGAGCTGGCCTGTAACCCGGCTCGGGAGTGGACTGGCGACTACCTCACCGACTTCCGAGACCTGCTGCCAGGTAACGGCTGGGAAGGGGCTGTGGAGAGCGGCCCGCTGAGCGCCGYGCTGACACCCCCGTCTCCCGCAGGCGCCTGCGCTCACGTGGAGCTCCCGGCGGCAGCGGGGGCGGACGACGCCGTTCCCGACGTCTCGCTCATCACGGGGGAGCTGCGTGCCGCCCGGCTCCGCGACCCCCCGGCCCCGCAGCCGCCCCCCAGCGCCGCCCTGGCCTGCAGGGAGCAGACGCGGGCGCTCGCCGAGATCAGCCCCGCGGGTTCGTGCCTCGCTTCCGAGCGGGGTGAGCCCGGCCGGCGCCGCCTCCCTGCTCTCCAGTACCAGCTCCCCCCTTCTCTCTCTTCCCAGCCTCCTTCCTGGAGTCCCGCAGCTGGCGGGGCCTGGAGCAGCAGCTGGGGAAGACGCCGGTGGCCAAGGCGGTGCAGGGCCGCCGGGGCATTGCCATCGCCTACGAGGATGAGGGCCGCCAGGACGCCTGATGCTGCGGCCGTGGCAAGGGTCCTGCGCCTGCCCCCGTGCAGGGACCCCCGAYGGTCTAACAGGGAGCTGGGCTTTGCTCCTGGTAGGACAGGGAGCTGCCTCTGGTCATTCCCATGCGGAAGCGGCCYGGGAGGCTGCAGCACAGGGAGAGCAGCAGCCGCCCGGCTGGTCAGGGATGCCCAGGGCAGCAGTGGGGTCCAGAGCTGGCCCTTGGGCTCATGGCAGCGCCCCATCTRTAGGAGGTTTGGCCCTTGGGGAAAAGGGCACAAGTCTTATGGGAGTCTGCGGGTGCCAGGACTTGGGCCTGGGCTGGTTATTGCTCTTAAACAAATTAAATATAAAATCTCTGAAATAAAAGATTTGTTGCAAGTGAAGTGTCTTCTAACAGACAAAAAAACATGGGCTGAAGAATGGAGAGCTGTGGGGTAGCAGAGGAGTGAAAACACAGATCGCAGTACTTGCTACAGAAGCAGAGCCACATTAATTAGTTAAATCAGGCTGAGAGAACAGAAAAGTGAGAGTAGTGGGGAACCCCTGGAAAGAAAGAGCACGTTAGCAGGTCCTGCTAGCAAACTAAAGCAAAGAGACAGGGGCTGCTGCTGTGAATGACTCCCACGAGCTGCGAGAAGGGCCCGTAGAGCCAGTGCTGCGGGAGGAGCTGCGGGGCAGGGGCTGGTGCCGGAGCCCCTGCGCGAGGGGCAGAACTTGTGCGCGCTCCTCCCGGCTGCCCCAGGTCCTCCACCGTTCCCCTGGGGTGTGAGCAGAGCTCCTGGGGTCTCCAACAATCCCCCGTGGTGTGAGCAGAGCCCCCCTCCGGCCAGGACGCTCCAGGGAAACGTGTGGGGCTGGCGTGGGGCCTGCACCCCCCTGGAGCTGCCACCAAAGGCCAGCCCAAGCAAGACCGAGTCCCCTCTCCTTGTGCTTTGCAACCCCGAGGTGGAAGACGGAGCCGGAGGACCAGGACAAGCAGTGGGCGGCAGGAACAGCCCCTCGGAGCCGGGAGGCACCGAGACACCCTCCTGTCCCTGCGCGCAGCCCCAGAGCCCTGCGGGAGGGCAGTTGTGTCCCTGCCCGTGGGGAGGGCACCCTGGGGGGCAAAACCTGCTCCCCACGGGCGCAGGGCCCAGCCTCCTCTGCCTCTGCACCCAGCAGCCGCCCCCTGTGTCCTCCTGAGCGCGGTGCCACCTCAGGGCAGCCTCGTGCCCGGACCGCCCAGGCCAACTTCYACCAGTGCTCCTGCCCTCCTTGGCCTACGGGGGAGGAAGGGGAGGCAGTGCAGAGCCGCCGACTTGATTTAGCACGTCCCCTCAGGCCGGGCTCTTTCCCAGCGGGAAGGGACAGCCGTAATCCGGGCACTGCAATAATGACAGCTACAACATAGAAATATCCTTAATATAATTAGGTGCAGGGCCCGCCCCCCCTCCCACCCACACACATACAAACTAGCAGGGGGGAGCCCCCTGCCCAGCACGTCTCTGCGGGGCGCAGAGCAGCCCCCCCTCGGCGAGGGGCGCCRGGGGGGCCGGCGGGGCGCTCCGTGCGGGGACGGGTCCTGCCGGGCCCCCCCGCCGCGTCCCGGCCCCGCCGAGGGGGGACATGCTGGGGAAGGAGAGATGCTGACACCAAGATGCAGCCACCGATTGCAGGCGAGGAGCGTCCCGCTGGGTTAATTCTAGTTGGAGGGTTACTCTACGAGCCGTAGTGCAGCAGGGCAGGGAGGAGAGGGGCTTCCTTGCAGGGCAGGGCTGCTCCGGGCAGAGCGTCCGTGTCGCTGGCCACGGGCTCAGTAGTCTGCTGTGTACTCGGTGCCGTGCAGCCCGCGGCACAGCAGCGTGAACTCCTTCACCATCTCCTTCACTCGCCGCTTGTTCACACGCTCTCTGCTAGCACAAACACAGGGACAACGTGAGACGGGCGGGAGGGACAGGGCGGGTTTTTGTCACAGGAGGGACGCACACACCTGAGGATCTGCTGGCTGAAGGTCTCTTTCTGCTCGGGGTTGACGCGGGCCGAGGGGAAGCCCTCCTGCTGCATGGCCTCCTTGATCCAGACGCTCAGGTGGCTGAAGCAGTGCTTGTTCAAGGCAAAGAGGATCTCCGCAAAGTGGTCCATGAGGCTGCGCGAGGCCTGGCCACCGATGCCCTGCAGAGGAGCAGAGGGACCCTGCAGGGCTCGGAGCTGTGCAGGGGCCCGTGCAGGAGCCCACGCTCCCCTTGTCCCCTTACCTCCAGCACAGCCTGCAGCAGCACCTTGCCGTTCTCATGCACGACCTGTCCCACCGGGGCGATCTCTCCACAGCGCGGCAGCAGCTCCGTCTGCAACACACACGGGCCCGGACAGTGAAAGCTAAAGCAGGAGCTGGGCAGCAGCTCCCTCCCCTGACCTGTGTCTGGGGAGGCCCCAGAGCCTCCCTCGTGCCCTCCCCACTCCCGGCGCCTGGCTGCTCCAGGGAAGATGGGAGCTGGGGACAGGCCTTGGGAAGGAGGCTCTCATGCCGGCAACTCGAGAGCTGGCAGCACAGCCCTTTTGCTGCATGATCGAGGATGAACAAAAATGCCCGAGGGASCCACAATACTCACAAAAAAGCCACAGGATGATTTCACTGTCGGGGCCTCAGGGAACTTGAGAGAAAGGACACCTGTGGGCAGAGGCATTCAGGTTAGCAGCCAGGAACACCCCACTCCTCCCCGAAACAGCTCGGGGGCACCCCARGCCCTGGCCAGGCTGTTCCCAGCCTGCAGGAGCAGCAGGCTGGTTTCTCAGCAGTGGGGTTTGGGGAAACGTCCACATGGGTAGGACGTGTGGCCATGCTCCAGGTACTCACCGCACTGAAACACTGCCTTGACATCCAGGTTGCTACACAGGAAAAGGTCTGGCTTCCTCTTCAGAGCCTGCAAGGCACACAGATGGATGGAATAAACACGGTGCTACAGYGGCGGCCAGAAAGACTCCCAGGAACCTGGTGCCCAGACAGCCTCTGCCTGGACACACACTTACCTGGGCCCGYTCATGATACACAGCAGAATTACACAGCACAGAAGGAAACCATCACTTTTACCCTCAAAAACCATCAGTCAAACATGTAGGCAGTCGCTACAGCCAGGGAACTCCAACCCCAAAAGCTGCGGACAGATGCCAAGGCGGGGTGCACACGGATGCCCCAGACAGACCCAGCACAGAGGCTGCCTGTCCCAGCAGAGCGGGACGGGCAGAGGCAGCGCCCTCGGGACAGGGGCAGCCGCCAGGGCCCTGCCGTGTCTCCTTCTCCCCTCAGGGACTCTGGGGTCACAGCACTAAGCCCAAGYACTAGCCCAGCGTTTAGTCTGCACCAGCAGTGCACACTGGCTCCGGGACACAGAGGGCAATGAGATGCCAGGGTTGCTTGGTGCATCCTGAGCAGCAAGGAAGCATCAGCTCAGAAAAGCTCTGCCTTTCCTCTGCCCAGGGACTCCACAAGCCACTGTGGGGTTCAGCCCTTTGCTGCTCCACTGCTGCTGGGGCCACTGACAGCGCAGCCCAACAGGGCCACTGTCCTGCAGTGATTTTCCTGCTCCCACCAAGCTCGACCCTGGGGGAAGGCAGGGGGCAGCTGCAAGACTGAGGTGCTTCTACCTGCATTTGCCCCAACCACAGGAAGGGTTTCTGCCCTGCCACAGGTAGCCCCACTGCACAGGAGGGCCACCTCTGTGCCCTGACCACGATGCCACCAGGCTCACAGTTGAGGGCCAGCACAGCCCCATATCCTGCCCTGCTGTCACTGCAACACTGGGGACAGCAGCCCCAGCTCCGCTGAGATGACAGAGTCACAGCAGGGTGGCCCTGCTCTGTTTTTGGAGGGCTGAGCACCCAAGCTGGGAGTCTGGCTCCTTTCCATGCYGCAGGCTCGGGCTGAGCTGTGTGCAGAGCCGCTGCAGCCCTACACAGCCCTGCCACCCTCCGGGCCTGCTTCCCAGCACGGCAGCAAGGACGGCTTTCAGCTGGCACTGCTCAGCAGGCAGGGCCATCTGCCCTCGGCCACGGCCTCCACAGGGAGCAAGATGCACTTATTTCCCACCCCTGCTTCTCCCCTAGGGACCCTCTACGTCTGGTCGGTGCTGGGCACGTGAGCTGGATATGAGAAAACTGAGCAGCAGGTTTCGGGGTTACCCGGCTCCCTTCCTGACCCTTTGTATTCTGCACTGCTGCAGAGGACCTGCATTTGGGACCCCAAAGGCATCCCCGGAACAGTGCCAGGAATGAGCTTCCAGGCCAGATAAAAAGGTGCCTTCATTGGTGTGATGAGGACCAGATTATACTTGTGTGTGTATATACAAACTGTATGCACCGTGCTAGGGCCAAGCAGCTGCACCGTGCTTCAGAAACACRTCCTCTCACCACAGCCGCTGCACAGAGCAGCCCTGGGAGGGACTCTCTGCAAGATGCTTCTCAGGTGCTTCCTTTGAGACTCTCCCCTCAGCCCATCTCAGTCCCCAGCCCTGCTCTGGGTTCCCAGCAGGGTGACTAGGAGCCCTCCACCCCAAAACAGCGCTTTGCTGGTGAGGGTAGTTAACCCTCGGTGGTAACATCCAGCCACAGGTTCCTGGGCTCTGCCAGTCCGGTTTTAACTCACGTCCTGCACTGCAAAACTGTTCTGCTGACACAAGAGTCTTCCAACAAGTCCAGGTAACAACAGCCACCTACCTGCATGGTGCTTCTCCTAGCCAAACAGAGCAGCAGACCCCAAGCTCTCCTGCAGGCTCACGGCAGCACCTGCTCCTCACACTGTCCGTGCCAAGGGGGAAGCGTGGTTGGATACTGGGATTGCTCTTTCCCATGGGACATCTCCACCCACGGCCAGTCCAGGCACATCTGAACTGGTTCCACATGGAAGCAAAGTGGAGGACGTGCAGTGGGCTGAGCTCCTGGCTAGGCCATCACCAAGGGCATCACCTCACGTGTCCAGCAAGGCCCTACTTGCAGGCATCCTTGGGACTCCTAGTCAAGTCAGAGGACACCATTGGGATGCATGGATGTGTCTGCAGCCCCTCAGTGAGGGGATGGGCTGGAGAGCGGCTCCTGCAGCAACATCCAGCAGCACAACCCGCTGCGAGCTGGGACTCCGAGAGCCTGGAGCACCTCCCGGATCCACTGAATCCTGCTGGAGGCAAAGACTCTCTCCTGGCCCCAAAACAGCYTGGCAGGGAGCTTTTGACCTCAGGGAGCTTCAACAGCAAAGCTGGGAGCCACGGAGAAGMGGGGGAGCTTAGCTAAAGAGCTAGCAGGAGGGACAGGTCTTGATCTGGAGACTGTGCAGAAAGAGTTAACAGGCGAAACAGGAGATGGGAGAAAGCCAGGCTGTGGTCTGCACCCCAGGAACCCAAC